CATCCGGAGCGCTATTACACTTATAGATGGAAGCGAGGCTGGAGTTAACCTTGTTTTGATACAAACTTTCCTGCTTTATTATGTAAATCAAGTTTTTCTTATGCTGATAAGTATTTTTCGAGGAAAATTTCCATGACAAAGCTAACGAGGTTTGTATCAAAACAAGGTCAGCCTCAGCCTCATATTCACTCGAAGGCCAGGGTACTAAGTCCACACAACAGTGGTCCACAACTGTAAAATGGTCTATTCAAAACGATTCGTTTTCAGCGTTTTGGCGGGTCTTAGTGTGGAAAACGGGCGATAACGGAGAAACGGAGCAACGGAGCAACGCATTAGTGTGGTGGGATCCTAAACCCCTCTACAAAGGAGCATGAGAAGTCCGTTGCTTAGCAGTCACGAATGAGAGCAAACGATATTGGACTGAGAAATCACGCTACATCAACTGATTAATTGAAATGAGAGATTGTACTGACAAGCAGCCTACCCGATCTAAGCAGATTATTGAAGTCACCTACCCGGGGTCCCCCATCTCCATGTAAACAGGCCCTTTCTGAGTCACATGCGTTCTGACCAGCGTACAAAAGTCGTGCCCAAAACCTCACCAGGGAGGGATCGTTCGAGAATCTATGATTCGTAACCATGACAGCTAATACTCTCTGTTAGTAGTTTACTCGCGCCGTTAACTCTAACCGCCGCTTCTAACAACTCTGCTCAAGACCTTTTTGTTTCGTTCTCTTATCTTAGTTTATAAATTTGTACAGGCAACACGTTGATCATTACCCTGATCTGGCTAGTGCTCCTGATTGGTTAAAGCACATTTTTGACCAATCAGAAGCACTAGCCAGATCAGGGTAGTGACACGTCATCGGTATGGAATTTCTGCGCTAGTTGATGTTCTCAGACGTCATTTCCCGTGGAAACCAATAGCCTGCGTAGCAGGCGCTAGGAAATAAATGGGCGCAAAGAACTGGGGCGCGCGAGGGAGACACGCCCTCTCCCCTTGCGTGTCTCCTTCTCTCGCGCGTGTTTTTTCTTGCGCTCATTTATTTCTTAGCGCCTGCTACGCAGGCTAGAAAACCAATGGCGGCGTTGCGAAATGTTGCCTGTATTCTCAGAGCTAATCAATCTATGTAGTGATAATTTAATAAAAAGCTGCAGCTATTGAACAATACTTTGCTGTATCAAATACTGTTTATTTGGCAGTGAAATATGCCAGCAGTAAAGCAAAAGTTAAACAAACTATATGTTTTCAACAATATTTGTTTGATTAAGAGACAGCGGGTTTTAAGCGGGTTCTGAATTAACCACTTGAGCCACACATTCGCCATGTTAGAGACGAAAAGGGAAATAAAGTCGACATGCATCCCGCAATGTTTTCTGGGCTCGTTATTGGAGATGCCCCGGTCAGCTATTGGCCAATATTTTCCCCGTCACTGATAATAGTCCCAGAAGCCTTTGCGAAAGTTAACTCGCCCCAGTTTCCTTCGCTTTTCTTAATTGGCGAATATCGCGTGAGGAGATCACTCGCTAACATCAAGACCCACAATTATGGCTCTTGCTAACATTCAAAGAATACTTGTTTCTATTTGACAAACAGACGCAATTTCGATAAAATAGTTTAATTCAAGTCCAGCAATTAAAACGCACTGAATGTAATATCAAGAGTATTAATGAATTGTAAGGGGGAATGGCATGAGACGAATTCATGGCAAACCAGAAAGATACTTGAAAACCCCAACCCAAATATTTAGTAATTCTCTGTTTATGAGTTCACGTTTTAGCTCAAATAAGGAGATAGCTTTTCTCTTCTATGCCGGCATTGTCACGCTTTACTCTGCCTTCTCTGCAATGGAGTACAAGCGTTAGCGTGACACAAATCATGGTGTTATGCAGCACAGCCACGAAAAGCACCACAAAACTACATTCCACTCTCTCTTAACGGACACCTAGAGTTGGTGCCGGCCTTTTTTACTCCTTTAATTTGACTCTCTGTAAGACGGACGTCACTCTAAGAGGGACATGAACACTTAGTACCAGTCACCAAGGTGTCTGTCTTAAAGAGAATCGACTGTAGACAACAACAGAACAAATCTCGCGAATTCACATACCCTGATTAAACTTTGTTTTTAATCCAGATATAAAAGGCCAGAAAATTAATATATCTGCTATTTCTAGCTTCTGAATATAACGGCCATCCAAACAAATTAAAACTATAATAGCGTAACGAATTTTATATTTCTATATTTGAGGAACACAAATGTCTTTTTAACAGGTATAAATCATTTCACTTAGCGAACTGCCGTAGCCAGCTCCGTACTTTTTCTCTCGGTTATCAAATTGAGTTTTCAAGCCGCCATTAATTTTAAATACGATTTAGAGTAAACAATCCAATTCATTATTTTTACAGTCCAAACTTCACTCGTGACACAAGCATAAACATAAAAGGCATTTGCACAAGAATTGCCGCACTTGTGATAAGTACAGGCGTACGGTGGCTGCACTTCATCCCTGCCACCTCATGTCAAAGTAATATGAATGTTTAAGTTCGTGTTTGGAGGTACTAAATAGAGACCTTTAGATTCCAAGACGAGAACGAATACGTGATTTGATTTTAACCTTTTTTTAGCGTATTGTCAAAAAATAGACACCCCGAAATTCTTCGTTGTACTTTTTATCACCAGAAAAGTTAGTACTGTTATCGTTAATGAAGGAGGTTAAGACCTCTCCCGATTGCAAAAATGATAAAACTTCAAACATTTGATAACTTGTTCCCGCCACTGCGACACTCTCGCTAAAACTCGTAGTTGAATGACGGCGGCTACCACTTTTTCCCGCCAAAATGACGCTGCCTCACGCGCAAGCACTACTTACTATCGATAAAATCTCTTACTCGAGGTCGTTCTTGTCTTAGAACCTAAAGCTCTCTAACCTGGGAACGAAACAACCAACATGAGGACGAGGAAGAAAGGGGGCAATGGTTTGGTAACCTACGAGCAAGCTCTCCATCAGTTTCGAGTGAAGAGAGACGCCAAAACGCGCTATTGAAATCTCGTCTCACGTCTCACTCGCACTTATCCTCCAGATGGAGAGGTTGCTCCCAAGCTAATAGGCTGATTTAGCAACAGGACGGGAACATCAGTTGGCGACGGGAAAGCGCGCGGACTAAACACGACTTCCGGTGCCCAATTTCCCGCTCTGCCATTGGTCAAGCCAGTTGTTTGATATGCGTGCGCCCTTGTCAACTGACGTTCCCGTTCTGTTGCTAAATCAGCTTAATGGTTTGGGGACGACGTGACCTGATTCCTGACACATGCTGGCACACAAGCAAACCATTCTTGACACCAAAATAATGGAAAGAGGACCCGGGTTCCTTAGGCGATACCACGTTTTTGTTGCCTGTGCTTAAACTTCTCCCGCGCTTCTTCACTACGAAGAATAAATTTTCAAGTTTATGCTTGAGTCACTAATGAGGACCGCGCTTTAGTAACGAATCAACACGGATGCCCTTCAGCAACGCGGTACGGGAGACTGATGTTCTTCTGTCTTGTCCTATTCGCGGCTTTGAGAATGAAGAGGCAAATCAAGGCGTTATGTTGTAACCATGGAAATACAAGGATGGCGCTGCGCATGACTGTGTTGTTTGACGGCATTGTTTAGTTACTAGAGTTTTTCCTTGGAAGGAATCCAAATAACTGGACCAGACTGCTGGCGTATGACATCCTTGGCTTTGGTGTAGATTTCGTCGTATGTGTCTCCTTGAACAACAGCTAAAAGATGAGGAAACAACAATCAGTCAGGGAAGTCCTTGGGAAGGGAAGAAAGAGATTTTCATCGCAACATATGATAAACGGAAAGCTATAAAAAAAAACCTATAAACTTGGGTAACCAAATTTGGGAAGGTGGGCAGTTTCCCAGACCATTTTGGGGAGTCGCGAGAAGTCATGCGAGTGCGAGGGGTGTTCCGTCTCCCGCGCGTTCTCTCGAGGCTCGCTTCGCTCGCCATAATAGACCTCTTTAGCTTAATTGTATGTTTTATTTTCCCAATAGAGGTCCCAGGGGAACTTGACCGTTTGTCTTTTCATAAATTACGCGTAGGTATGCACGTGAATAAGACAAAAATTTGAGAGAAACAGTTCTCTACAGCGTTATCACATGAGCTGTATTGGGAAAACAAAACATACAAGCTAAAGAGGGCTATTAGAGAGTTTACTCGAAGGCTAAAAAGAAAACAAATGCGCATACACTTCATCCTCACCTGTAAAATACTCTCCAAATTCCTGCTCCAATTTCAGCGCTCTATCGTACGTCTTTTGTGCCTGTTCTTCCGTCAGCCTTTTATTTAATTCCCGGATGGAATCCACGGATTTTGGTTTTAAAAATATTGCGATGGGATAGAGCGTGGCCACTTGGAGTCGCTTGATAGCATAACCACTAACATCTAAAATACAGTGTTTATTCTAAGAAAAGAAAAAAAACAGGCTTACGGTAATGATGTAATAAAAGAAAGTAATATGTAATTTATTGTTGACTGGTTGGTTTTGGCTTTATGTTCCACTGTTCAAAATGAACGTCAGGACAGTGAAAAATTAAACCATAAAAATGGCCCAAAATTGACCAGAGGCCAGCTTAAGCGGCATAAAACGCCGGTGAGACGAAAACGTGGAAACAAAGAGAGGAAATCTACCTTTTTTATCTCGGTTTTCCCTTACATATGTTTATATTTTGGCTCTTTTCTTACGACCGACAGACATACCGTTGGGACGGACACATTTCGAGCTTGGGTTACCTGTGCTCGCACAGCCTCAAAGTCGGCTCTCAAAAAGATGTCGAGACAAGAAAGACAAAGTTATGACCGTTAGACCGCGGCATAAGCCTTTAAAACGGAAAACTCTAATATCAGGAAGCTTATTCTCCACATTATTCTCTACACATATCCAATGGTACTGATGGGGAAAATTTCTTAATCAATCAAGAACTTTTTCACTTGATCATGAGGGAAACTAACTGTTCGTCAGTGTGCGAACAGCGGATAATAACTTTACCTTTTCTGCTACTTCTTTTACTGACTGTACGCTCGTTCCGTAGAGGTTCTCATTATACTGGCCCGCTTCAATAAACATGTGATTCTGAATCGCTTTTTCCATCTCCTCGCGAGAATCCACGAAATGATAATCACGTCCGTCCACTTCGTAATCTCTCCTCTCGCGTGTCGTGTCTGTCAAGAGGAAAAAATGTTTGGTCAAGGGCTGGTAATAAGTTAACAACACCAAGCGCAACATTTTAAACATTCTTATCTTCATTAACCATCACTCTTCTTTGGATTTGTTACGAGGGACGCTGTGCGAAAAAAACACTCAGAAACAACAAATCCCTTTGCAAGGCTAGCCAGTCAAAAGAGACGCAAAGAACACAATAAACTGAACAGAAGCAACCGGTGGCCGGTGCAGAAGCGTGAAGCTGGTTGCAAGCGCGGGAAAATGAAGCCCGGAAGGAGAGCGGGAAAACTTGGAACACAACGAGAAGCGCGGGAAAATGTGAAACTGGGAAAAAAGGACAGGAAAAGCGAGAATTCGAGGAAAAGAGCGGGAAAATGTGAAACAGCTGACAGGTGCGTCACATACAAATGATGATAAACGCGGGAAAACTTTTGAAGTCGCAGTTGAATTGACTTTCTCTAGACTGAATTAGCTTGACAACCTGTTCAGAAAAACCACAGAATTGTCCCTGACTACTCCCACCCTCAAGAAAACGCCACGTGGGCAAATGCTAGGTTATTTACGAGGCAACAAAGACTCCAAAATTAAATTAAAAATTAATTAATTAAAAACGAGGCAAAATAATGGTACATACGGGGTACGCAGCTGCCAAATTTATCCGGAAATTCTGAGATGAGGTCATCATTGATTCTGTCCTTAAGTAGCCCCAGTACTATAACTGGTCTGGTGTACTTTAACTCATGTTGCACAACAGCCTCGTACGACAGGATATTATCCTCCGCGCGTGCACTATAACTGCTTTCACTGTCGCTGGCGTTTGAGGTGTAGCTTGGTTCTACGTCACTCGTTTGCTCGTTTTCTGAATCCTTCTTGAAGAATGGCAATTTCTTGGAAAATTTAAAGCTACGCTTGCGACCACCTGGTCCGTCATTGAAGGAGGTCTACAGAAAAAAAATGAATATGCATTCCAAGGCAGTCAGTCAAAGGAGAACGAAGCCTCTGTTAAACAAGAGCGCTTTGCATGCTGCGCACAGAGTTTAAAAATTCCGAAATCAACGATTAAAAAGGGTTTTTTTATTTCCCGTGCGATAGTGGAGTTCAATCTTCGAGTTTGAGAGTACGGGCTGCCATCTTGTTTGGAGAGCGAACCTGGGGGGGATTGCAAATCGTTCGTGAGGACCGGAATGGGTGGTGGAGGAGATCCACACCCTCCAACCAAATGTTACACTTCTCAAAAGTTTCTTACCACGTGAAATCAAAATAGCGACCGCTCGAGCTCAGCTATATCGCTCAAAACAATCGCACGGAAAAATAGAAGACTGTGCACAGTCTAACGAGTATAAAGAGTGACCACCACCAATTTCCTCCTCACAATATTCACGGGCTCAGTTAAGAAAACAATAATTATTTTTCTTGCCTTGAAGAAGCCTCTGACATTTTTCTTCGTTTACACGAACTGTTTCAAAACAGAAAAAATACATGCGCCCAAAACAGTATGGGTGAACTTGGGCCTTAGCGAGTGAGTCCGGCGCATTACTAATGCATGAAAGTATGTCAGAACCATTTCTAGCGTTGAAGATTTTCACTCAAAGGCGTCATATCAACAGCTTGCTGGAAATACTTACCTTCGTTTTGTTATCCTCGCTCGTTCTTGAAAACTTCACCGACTTCATTCTAGACTTTTCTCTCCTTTCGACCCTAAAACATCGACAGAGTAAAATTAAGGGTCCCGCGACCGAACAGAAGAAAAATTTAAAAAGTTAAAAAATAATAATATTAAAATAATAAAAGAGCAACAACAAACTGAGGCTTTTCCAGAACCCTTTACGAGTTAACATCCGCATTCCTAACCCCGTACGCTAGCTTATGGACCGACCATAAGAGAAGTGAAGGGGTGTGAGTGGGCGAGTTTCTGCTTTTCTGTGTATGTTTTAATTTAACTTAGTGTGTGTTTATTTTTTTTTTCTGCCTCTTCCGGCAGCAGCGTTCATTTTCGCGTTAATTTCTATTGTGTATGGACCTTTTTGGCTTTTTTCCCACCCCTCCCTTCCCTTTTCTAATGGTCCGTCCCTTACATCATATTTTATCTGTTACGAGAGAGGGGTGACAAGAGACAAAACATATCTTGGGCAGGTAGTAAAATTGTCAGCTAAGATGCTGCGTTACTTGTAACGGACTCACAATAAATGGACGACGACTAAAACTGACTTTCCAAGGAGCACTGAAGCAAAAACAAAGAAAACACATACAACCAACAGTTCACTTGCCTCCTTTTGCTGGGGATAACACCTCTCCCTTCCTCCTCCCCCAGAGCATTCAGCCGCCTCGCTTGCCACCACTCGTCATCACTGGCATTAGTCACGTGAAGAATATCACCATATTTGAAACTAAGTCCTTGGCTGGGGAGACCGCTGTCCTTAGTTTTGTCGTAGTCAAACAAAGCCCTGGATGAGATAGATAATATAAAATCAAATTTTCTTCAATGGAATTACAGTCGAAACTCAAACCTTTAAGCTCCGGTAGTGACCATAGTATTCATGCTTAAATTCTCTCAAGCAGTAAAAAGAGAAACGTACGAAGAACAGTGTTGAGAATTTGCATGGTTGATATGACTGAGGCTTAAACGGTTGAACGGCCAGTTACCAGATTCCCGGCGGACAAAATTGTTGGTACATTACTGTACACATCCAGGAGCCCATCATTTGGGCTCCTGACACATCTCTCTTAAGCGGTTACGTAACACTTTCACGATGGTGGCCGCTTTCTAGAGGTTCGACTGTACAGTGACATTGGGTTATAGTCTATTAAGGGAGGGGTTAGTCTGTTACACAGCCGTTTTAGTGTCGTCACGCAACGCTCCTCTACAAAAACCGTTTCTGGGAAGGAGCTAAAAACGACTGTGTAGCAGACTAGGGAGGGTTGGGTGGGAAACGTCCCTCCCAGAATCGTACTTCTGACTTCAGACATTGACAGCCGGAGGTTCACGAGACTGTCATAAAGTCATGAGGTGTCCCATTTGACCGAACGAAGTGCACGAGCGGCCTAAAAGCACAACAAAGAGTTCCATGAGTTGTCCAATTACTCTCTGAAATATACTCTTTCCGGAGAAATTACTTCCAAATGTGGCCTGTTCTAAACATTTAAATAGTAGAGCGCGGAGTTCAGATGGTGGGGAGCCAGGTAAAACGTACGCGGGGAAAACGAGGAGGAAAAACGAGGAGGGGAGACTTTGAACGCCTGGAACAGGCTATTCCAAATAACAAAATTAAAGGGTCAAGACACAAGAACCACCGAGTGTAAAAACCATACTCTCACACAGAAAACTATGAAAAACAGTTAACCTGAGCAGTTTTCAAAAACCCCACCGCAATTCGTTTTGATCTTTTTGAGTATTGGGCATCGGTACCTTTCTTCCCCGTCGTTTTAAATGTGTTACTGAAATGTTTCCTCACTTTTTTCAGCACCTCTATATTTTCATTTACTTTGGTGGGTCAACTTTGGCAAGCTGCGTGACGCGTGATGAGGTGTTTTCATAAGGGGGTTTAAAATGGTCCGTTCACACTTGATTCGATTTAAAAAGCAAAAGGGGTTAAATTGATAGTGACCAACATCAATTTTCTCTTCACAATATTGATACATAATCAAGAGAAATAGTTGTGAGAATTAAATGACTATCTAAGGGAACATTGCTTAGTAATCTATTCCCAGCGGATGGCACGCTCGCTTAATAAACGCCTGGGGACTCAAAGAGATGAGTTACGGGACATGTGAGTCCGCAGGCGAGAAGGCGATAGGACTAAACCAAGATAAGAAAAAAAAGAGGGAGGAAGGGAGGGTCACTAACGAACCACAAAGAAAAACGGGTGTAGACCAACCCCACGTCCACAAGGAGCTTTGACGGCACATGAATCCAATCCTCCCGCCCTTGCAGCCAAACTGGACAAATTTGCTTACACACGTGTTTATAGACCTATTCGGCTAACTCAGTGTTGTACCCAATTCAAATCTCCCGGGGATAAGATTCTTTGTGTATTGTATTTGCATTATAATGTGGCATTCACATTTAAATGATATGGAAATTCCTGAAACAAAACGTTTTATTCCCAAAGGGTTTGAATTGGGTACAACATTGAGTTAGCCGAATAGGTCTATTTATACACAGATAGCCACTCCCGAAGGAGAAACGCACACACACGCCTGAAATGGAGCTCTCGCTAGTGATCGGTCAGAATTAAGGCCAGTGTTACGCGAGCGAGTACTGGGAATAGGAAATGAGTGGATATCAGTAAGAAAAGTTTGTAGTTGTATATTGGGACTTTCAGGGTTAACTGACTCGCAGTAACTGGGAACTTAATCAACAACGACGGCAGTGGCTACCGAAAGGTCACTTGAACAGTGAAGTCGCACTGCTTAAAACTTTATAGCGCTTATTCCATCTCGTTCAATTAGACAAATGTTGGCAATTTGTTCTGGAGTTGAATTCCATAAGACTGCATCCCAGTTCAGGAAAAGAAAAAGAAAAAGAAAGTGGTTTTCTTGTGTTCATGTCCTCCACAAAACGTGAAATTAGGCGTTTTCACGTCGTAGTCGTGCAGTAACGCCAAAAAATGTACAAAAAAGCGTGATGCACGTGCAGAGTTGTTGTTGCGCCAATCTAAGCCTATTGCTTTTTTGCCGTTCTTGTTGCCGTCGCCGTCGCCGTCGCCGTCGTTGTTGCTTAAGCTCCCTTATAACGTGTTTTCATAACATGTTTTAAGTGTTTTCGTTCGCACTTGATCCAATTTAAAAAGCAACAGGGGTTAAATTGAGTTGTCACGCGCGAGTAATATTCACAACAGAGAGGCAGTGTCACGCAAGGTTATTCTTGCTACACATACTAAGAAACACTCCTTCCCGTTGAATACCGGAATATTAATTTGTTTGTTCTATAGCTTAAATACATGTTATTAAATCTTTATAAGGAAATTAATGTCTTAGGGGATAAAAACTGGCAGTTGAGCAGTATTCACATAAAAAGTCAATATTTCAACACTTACTTTGGCTAGCTCTCAGAAATATCGCTCGGAAGAACATGAAAATCACTCATACCGGCGTCTTGAGAAATGAACGTTATTTAAAGAATGCAATTTACTCAATGTCAAATGTTAAACATTTTCATTTGACAACATTTGTACGGATCTGTTTAGAAACACTCGACGCGTTCCTGATGGTTAGTTTCTTCATTTATCTTCTCGTTCACAAAAAGAGCTGGCGACCCACGACGAAATCCAAACAGGAGAAAAGGACAAATTTGGCTACGTTTTTGTACGTAAAATAAAGACACCGTCAATGGACTGAGAGAGACAGAAAGCACAGTTGTTTACGACCAAAAAACTCTCCAAGTAGTTGAAATATTTACGGTGGTTTTTCGTTTGCTTCCCTACCTCACGTAAAGCTGGCGTTTCACAGACGTTCGAAGAGTTCCTGGACTACCGCTGTTCATCATCTTCTCGCGAATATCGTGAATTTTCGCTTCAAACTGGTTGTATTCTGTGAAGGAAAGACAGGAGTAAGATGGGCTGTATGAACAGCACAGGAATACATGAAAGCAGCGCGCTCAGACGGAGGGCAAAGTAACTATATAAGAGCGCTCGGTCGACTGAATGCAATATGCAAATTGCGTCAAACTCATCTTCATACATACACGTACATAACCACATGTTGTGGATCTGTTTATCAATAGGCTAGCGCCAGAAATACTCCTAGCTAAGGTTCTAAAAGCAGATCAGTGAGGATAAAACGCCTACGAGATTAGCCAATGTAACGCAATAGGCGTTTCACGATCTGTCTCGACTGATCAAACTCGTGGGATGTTGAAACGACAATCGAGCTCAATATTGTGCATATCTAGGCGCGGTAATCGAGTACGGAAAAGCCAAATAACCACGGTTCCGCTTTGGAGTTTTATGGCTATTCGCTGCGAGAAGTACCGATCACGAGCGACGGAAACGTATTTAGTAGCAATTCAACTCGGAGGAAAACACAATACCTTTCAGCCATTCATATTTAATAGTCTATCAAGCTGAATTCCTCCTGGTGTACAAAACTATTGTTTATCGATCCACGATTGACCGCAAAATTAAAATACTCCAGCAGAATAAAAACAAAACACAAAGTCTGTAAGAAAGAATATTAGTCTAGGGTATGATCACTGGTTCAGGAATGACGTCTATTTGCTTCCTTAGCCACGAGATGGCGAATGAAGACAGTGCTGTCAAACAGATAAGACCAAGAAGGCAATACGGAGTTTATTTTTAGACAAAATGCCAATCAACCTCTCACGATTCAGCGTCCAATTTATGTCGATTCTTCGGCAAATCAATCCATTGATAACAACAGTCTACAACTGATATTCCGTCGAGACAATTTTGGCACTTAAGAAATATTCTGCCCTCTACCAAAACGCAAATATGAAGGATGACCAGCCGTCATAAAAAGGTACGAAATAAACATTTATGAACGGAATATTATTATTATTATTATTTCTTTATCCAGTATCACTATCAAAATCAATCTGGTCGCAAGCTTTTATCTCTGCGCAAATTTTAGGGTCACAAAAAAGCCTTATTATCAAAGAAGGTAGAAATTTAATTATTTACATATTATCATAAAATATATAGCTTTTCCTCTTTTCGAAAATTGTATCTTAATGATATCAAACTAACTCTCCTCAAGACCACTCTGCCAATCAAAGTATTTAAAGCCCATATGCAAGACAATATTTTTGAAAAATGAGAGGTCAAGTTTAATGTCTTTTTTTAAATGACAGTTATTTATTTATTTTTTTCAATTTTTCGACGCCCGGCACTTCATTTATACAAACATAAGACAATGAATATCAGGAAAGACCAAAAGTAATTGCGGCCAAGTCAAAAAATAATGTTTCAAAACAAGCGCCGAAGAACACTTATCGCCTCGCTAGATTACACATGCAGGTGTTAAAACAGACATTTCACGATCTGACCGATCCAGACAAAGTTATGGCGAGATGATATTTATCTAACTTTTGAGTTTGTAAAGAAAATCCTATGGCGTTTCAATTGAAAAGAAACTTCTTCAGTATTTATTCTTGCGGTATAAACCCTTAATATGAAACCTCTTAGTGACAGTACTTTCAGCCGGCAGGATTTGTTTTTTAAACAGTTGTAACTTAATTTTGAGTCCGTAAGTGAAATTCTAAGGTGTGACCATTCAAAAGAAACCTCTCTGGCTATATTTTCACAAAGTTCTATTTACCCTTTCGAATTTCAAAAAAAAAACAAATTTGGAATTTTTCGTGAATTTTTCACCATAAAGAACAGCGATAAACGCGTTTCACTACACACTCGATCTAAACGAAGGCAACTTTGAAGAAAGATAAAGTTACAGAAGAAACATTATAGAATATAAAGCTATAGAACTTACAGTTTTTCGACCACCGTTGACGTTTTTATTTTTGTCGTCTTATCACCGTATCGTGTGGTTTTGGGCAAAAAAACGCCGCGGTAGGAGTGCTACATGAAAACGGGTACTTCTTGACCTCAAATAGCAGCCAAAGAGAGTGTGAACCGCAAATCTGAATTTTCGACAGGATTAAGAATTAGATTTATTTTCCATCTTGACATATTCACGTTTTGAAGGACCTCAAAAAATACCACTTGAGGAGATAATAGATTAAAAAATATATTGCAAAATTCAATTTGCAGGAAATTTGACATCCATAGCCGTATCAATTCGCACACTGACGAGCAGGAAAATTCCTTGCGATGAAAATAAGGCTGCAAAGATCTTATCAAGCAATAAACCAAGGCAATAGATTCTTCCAGGGTTTTTTTCAACTTTTGACTGGGAAAGTTAGCGACAATTTGTCAACACGGCTAAAAAGAACGCCTTGAAGTTGGTTAAGATGCAAAGTTTGAACGTGATTTGTTGAAAGCTAGCAAAGATATAGCTTCGCAATCAACCTGCCCCCCTCAAAACAAATGTCTGTAAAATTTGGCAACTTTGTAGAGCAATACCTTCGCTCGCTTTTAACGTATCAGCTTCAAACTAGGTACGTTTACCAATTTTCAGGCGCTCTTTCCAGTAGTGCCAATGGATATTAATCAAAACTTGAAATAAACCGCGGAAGGATCAATGCTTACCTTCTGGTTTGTACTGAGCCAGGATCGCCACTGTACTTCCCGCACCCTTCAGAGCGGCCGCGGCTTTTTCGTGAGTGGCGTCTGATAAATCAATATCGTTAACCTACAGACAAAAAAGTGCAGTGAAAATTAATATCTATGTAAACAAATAAATGAATGGAGGTATTAAATTAGGGGAAGAGCATGTATCGTTCAAAATGTTCTCAAGCTACTTCCATCACCTATGGGGGATGTGTATTTACGTCCGGGAAATTGAAAACAAAACGCATATAAAGGAGAGGGATTTCCACGGCGCCACGATTTGTGAAAGCACTTTCTTTGTTTTATATGCCTTGTTTCGTTATTTATAATTTATTCCCCGCGTCTTCGCCGTGGTAGACGCCAATTCAAAACACCGTTACACACGGAAGAAACTTCATCAGTGATTTCAGCCCTGCTTCTACCCTTCAGCCGTCAAGGTGTTTCCCGCATAAAGGGGATTTTCAAACACAAGTCCCATTTAAAAAACGGAAGAAACATCCTTAAAACCATGTTTGATAAAACAGGGTTACACATTTTGTTTTAAATTTTAATGAGAACACATTAGCGCTGTTGAACATAGAATATTGAATTAACTTAGCCTAGTAAATTATATCGAAGGAAATAACTCCCGAGATGACGCTTACTCTGATATGAATATTCACATACACAGGTTGAGTTAGACCAACTTCGACTGATACAACATTTCGTTAGTACTTAAGAACCTCAAACTAAAAGAAAACAGTAATCATCTGGGTCAACTTAGGTTTCTGGCAAACTACCCCCTACCCCTCCCCTAAGCTAACATTATGCTTTAAGCGAGAAGGAAGTGTTAATGTTGGCTTAGGGGAGGGGTAGGTGGGCATTTTCCCAGAAACCCTTCATTGATCCAATCAGGATCAACCAATCATCTTTCATTATTTATTACCACCCATGAGGCAACGACACTGCTGATTGTGTCACCTTAGTCTGCTACACAGCCGTTTTTAGTGTCGTCACGCAACGCTCCTCCCCACAAGGAGGGAGGGAGGGAGGAGCGTTGCGTGACAACACTAAAAACGGCTGTGTAGCAGACTAGTGTCACTTACGAATCTAATAAATTTTAAGCGAGTTCCTCGGTAACTCAGAGGTCAGATCGCGCAGTAAGAATCACGGAAGGATAGGTTTGAATCCTGCCGGGGGGGACTCATTTGTCAGAACTCTTTGCCTCACGCACACTGTTTATTTAACTGGATGGATAGTTTTGATTAATAGTGAAATTCTCATTACGACGGGAATGGTCTGGCCGGTCAGTTCTGACAAATGGAAAGCGCCCTTAGTCTTTGCCTGACGCTTGTAACAGTTACGAAGATGTTGCGATGAATATCGGAAATACACGAAGATACCCCGAAGATACTTTAGGAATACGAAACTACCAATAACGTACTAGCCTTTTCTTAATGGGAGGGACAGAATTAGCAGTACTTCTCATTAAAGGAGATCTGTTAAATCTTTACCAACAGGAAAGAAAGTTAAAGAGCAGATTGTATCAAGGTAAAAGTAAAAATGTATTTGTTTGAAAGTATGATTTATAATGTTCGACATCATATTTAGTGTGCTCTGATAATCAGTATCTTTTTGTCCGTTCAGTCTGTGTGGGTAATTCATTACGATCAGAAAATTGTTCGGTTTTGCCAAAAGCTATAGCCAAAGGACTATTCCTGACTAGATAAGTTTCAATGAAATTCATATGTTCATCATTTAACCCTTTAAGTCTCAATAGTGACCAACATCAATTTTCTCCTAACAATGTCCATATGTTGCCAAGAGAAATGGTCACGAGAGTTGACAAATGGATCACTAAAAAGAAAATGCTTTGATCTGTTATCAAATTCTCTCGACTAATTCTTTAAGGAAATGTATGACCATCAGTATGGAGAATTTATATGTAGATATTGGGACTTTAAAGGGTCAAAATAAGTTTAACAGCGAATATTACCGCTAGAATTTGATCCCCTCTCCTAAGTTCTCCACTCAAATCAGCCACACCTCCAGCCAGAATAAATGAGATGAAAATGCCTTCACCATCCTCACCCCCAACTATGTTGAAACCGAGTCCGGTGGGACCCTTATTCAAGATAACTTTCCTGGCCTCCCTGTAAAGAAAGAGCATTCAGTTTGTGAGTCCTAGAAAACCACAAAATACGCATTCCCTCTCTACCTTACCTAAAACTTGTTGAGGCAGCAATGGGGGGATTCTGTAAGTTTATCAAAAGAATTCATCTTGAGAGTGCTTATAACTTTTGACCACTTTTCCTTGGTCGTGAATGAGCTGTGTAACACTGCTACGCAGACAACTAAGTTTTCCCATTGAGTCATTTCCGGTTCCTTTTAGCCAAACGGGAGAAGCGCGGGAGACGGCGCGAGGGCAGTTGGGCGAAAGAAGCCACAACGTTGGGGGATTAATTTGGGTTTGAGCGAAACTGCCCAACCACCCCTTTGCTAAGCCAACAACAACACTTAATTCTCACTTAGGGCAAAATTTTGGATTAGAGGAGGGGTAGGTTAGTCTGCTACACAGCCGTTTTTAGAGTAGTCACGCAAGTGACGACACTAAAAACGGCTGTGTAGCAGACTAGGGTAGGTGGGCAGTTCTATAGAAACCTAAATTGATCCGGAAAACGTCCGAAGGAGTCGTTTCTGTTTTCCTAAATTTATAACAATAAAACACACACACACAAATCAAATAAAATGAAATAAAAAATACAAAGTAAAGGGAACGACTGGAAAAGAAGTCTGCTATACAGCCGTTTTTAGTATCGTCACGCAATCGTCACGCAAGGAGCTTTGCGTGACGACACTAAAAACAGCTGTATAGCAGACTACTGGAAAACTTGCTAGTGCAAGCTTTTGGCAATTCTTGGGTGTGGGGACATTCACACGTTCCCATTTTTTCCCACTAAGTTGTTTTCACACCAGGCGATGTAGTGAACAGTTTCTTTTCAGCACATCGATTATTGGTGATAAGGTCCATCACGGCAGTCCTCGTGTAAGCAGCGGAAAGAGAGGGCGGGGGCTATCCCTTTTTTCAATCAGTGTCCTTTTTTAACCGTTACCTGTTGACGCTTAACATTACCCTAGGAGCCAGAGACTTTTAATGCGCGGTATTCGGTTATAGTAACCCGCGCGGCACGAGGGATAAAAAAACCCTCTACACAAGCAGTAGACACGGAAAAGTCCGTGACGAACTTTTAAACTGCCGTTTCTATTAGCCCTGGGCTTATACCCCTTCATAAGGGTTTTAGGTGGGCTTATAAAGGAGGGGCTTACACGTATACCCAAGGGGGCTAATGAAAGGTAGGTGGGGGGGGGTATAAGCAGCAGTTTACGGTATGACACTCAAGAGCAGTTACCTTGTAAATCCATCATCTTCGGGTACTGCAGGGGGTTGTGGTTTCTTTAAACTGTTGGTATGTTCTCTGGGTAAACTGTCCTCTTTTGCCACTGGGGGTGGGGTAGGTAGTGGTACTGGTGCTGCTGCTGGTGCTGTGGCTGCTACAGGAGCTACTTCTGATATCACTGCCTTTTCATCCTGAGGAGGAGATGGTGGGGGAAGTGGACCTGGCAATGTAAAACATTGGATAATGAAAAGGAAAGTCCTCTTGGTCTGAAGTAACTACATCACTAGTTACAACATTGCATTGACCTGTGTCAAAAAACTATTCAGCTGGCTGTCAACCTAGAGTATCAATTTGAAAGCGAACTTTCACTTTTAGGGTAGCCTCCAAGGCAGGTGTCCGGTCGTTTCGCTACATAACGAAGTTGATTCGCTGCAAAGTCGTAAAGTCGTTTCGCTGCATCATGAAGTTGATTTGCTGCAAAAATATTTGTCCATTCACTGCATACTAAAGTAATGTACTCACACCCAAGGATGTGGCTATGGAGAAGGCTAACCGGCCTTTTCGCTCAATTGTACCTTCAAAATACCCGATGTTCTTGTTTTCCAGAGCAGATTGAACTGGTGAAATATTCCAAATTTGAATTTGCTGCGGCCGCTGAATAGAAGCACTGAAGACTCATTCATACAGGGTTAGCATCGACCTAAAGTAAAACATTCACAAATACCAGCGAGAAAGTGCCTGAATTTGAGTTCAAAACAATAGACACAATTGTACACAGGTCTTCTTCTTACAAGAATTTGTGAAAATATTTACCTTAGTTCGAGGCTAGCCCTGTATAAATGAGCCTTCAGCGCTTCTATTCAGTGGCCGCGATGAATTCCAAACTGGACTATTAGCCGGCAGCAAGCTCTTAGCGACATTCCTGAATGCTACATCAGTACTCCATTTATTTATTCATCTATTAATTTATACAGCCTGTGCAACTGACTCAGTTGAGTACCAGTCTTTAACCACTTACTTGTCTTGAGAACATCTTGGTAGCGTGGAGGCGGTGTCTCAATGTAAGACACACCTATTCTGGAAATCACTATCACCACTCTGTCTTGAGTTTTCTTCAGTGCGGCAACAGCCTCTTCATGCGTGACATCCTCCAATGATGTCTCATTGACCTGATAAGGGAAAAAAATAACATCAAGAGCTAAAACTCATAAAGATCAATATTAAAGTATTTCCCCTTAGGTGAGTATTTTATGAATTCTTATAACCTTTTCTGTTGATTGTGTATTGATGTTGTTGGGAGAAAATTGATGTTGGTCACTCTTGGGACTTCAAGGGTTAACAGACGCGAAGAAAATATAAATACTGCGAGGTACCCCTCACTGAAGGCGGCTCCAGGGTCAAATTCACAAAGCCTTGTACAAATTCAAACTATTTCTGGGTCTTTGTCAAGCAGGAGCTTTACGGTTTGTTTAACCCTTTAAGTCCAAAGGGTGATCAACATCAATTTTCTCTTGACAATATCAGTATATAATCAAGTAGAAAGGTTATGAGAAGTAATAAAATGATCACTTAAGTTGGAAATATGATTTGATCTTTTAAAATATTCTCTCAAGCAGTCTTTCAAGAAATGTATGGAGGCTAG